TACTGTAGTGTATGCTATCTTGTACCTTCAGGCACAAGTTTGGGTGCAGTTCAGGTACTGACTACTCTACTGTATTTACATGGCAATTTATAAACTTTCCTCTACAAGGATTGGATTTCTTGGAATCTGTCTGTGTGTAAAAATGAATATGCCTGAAGCAGTACAAAAGGCTTCTATTACAAGAGCATGAAAACCCTATATGTCTTTTCAGAATGGCTCTTCAGGCCCTAACTGTGAGTCTTAAATTCCAGTAGTGCATATGGATTGGTAAGAAGGAATTTGTTTGTTTGTTTTTTGTACAGGTAACATACTTCACAAGCCAAAATTAGTTTAATAATTTGGCAGGGTGAGCGATACCATCACAGGATGTCCTTCCGTGTCCGCGCAGGGAATGCAGAGCTTTGGTGTGGGAACGTGCGTGTTTGTTTCACAGAGCCACGTGCCAGGATGACAGATTTCCCACCAGCCAGGGATCATTACGAGCGCTGCCAGGTGGACTGAAATTGTAAATCAGAAGCAGCTTGTACGGAGAAATGGACATAACTGCCCGTTTTGTAAGGATAGTATTGCTTAAATGACAGCGTGTGGGGAAATAGGACCTTTGTCAAATTGTTCCCTCAAGAAAGCTAATTTTAAAAATAAAAATGCTTTTAGTGTGGTCTACACAAAATTATTTTTTCCTGTCTCTGGGTGTAACAGTAAATTACCAGTGACTGTTGAATAGATTAGGCTGGAGCAAGGAGACATTGCCATTTAGAAGATCTGTTCTTTAGAATCACTTGGAAGGGCTCAGCATTACAGTTCAACACATGTTTTACCTTATCATTACCCAGAGTAAAAAGACAGGAATTTCCTTTTAAGAGAAATATTTAAATTAAGTGTGAAATAAGATGGAAAGACTGAGGAGTCCTGGCTCTGTTAAAATCATAGGAGTTTTGCCATTAACTTCATCAAATCCAACAGTTAACCCTGAATCTGTAACAGAAGTCGAGATGCTAAAAACTAAACCCAATAAACCAAAAGTTGAAAAGGGAACCGAACACTTAGGCAGCTTCAGGAACCAGTTTGGAGCAGCAAGACAGGTATTTGTAACACCCACGAGTTCACAGGTACCTTTCTGTGTGTCTCATTCGTTACCTTTATCCACTACAATCAACATAAGCTTTCAAAGATACTGCTTCTCAGCTTCAGTTCAGCATCTATCCAAATGCAATTGCCTTATATAATTATCTTTCAAACATAGTTTAGATTCATTAATTAATTTTATCGTAGTCCAACAAGTGCCAATCATTTCAGGTTAGTTATCAAACTTGACCGTTGTTACTTTAATTTCATAATTAAACGTGTTTCACACAAATGCACCTTGGGATAAAATCCCTCAAAACAATAGAGTGTAATTCCTATAACACTTTTCAGAGTGCTTTGCCAATATTAACTAATTAAATTGTGTGGATCCCCCGTGTGTCCAAGAATCACCCGTATCGGCAGCGTGGTGCCTTGCTCAAGGCTGCGCTGCGGATACGGCTGGGATGGGATCGGGAACGTCCGCCCTCTGCTCCCGTGCTTGATCCTCGGTGGCTGCAGGGGGGAGCTGTAGTGCTCAGTGTTTCGGGATGTGAAATGCGTGTCCTCGGGGCGGGAGCGCTGCGTGGGGCCTTCACCAGCACCCACCGGCGTGGCCATCACGAGTGACACGATGGCAGCAGCGTGGGCCCTGCGTGGCGGACGGTTTCCCTGTGGTTCATTATTGCTTTTTTTCTGTGTTTTGTTTCTAAATACACATGGGAAGCAGCAGCAGAGCTGCCTGCACTGAGACATCCAGAGCGGTGGGGAGCACTCACGGGTGTGGGCTGGACACCTCTGCTGTCACTTGAGCCAAATTGATTCTTTTTTTTTTGTCATTATCTAGATCAGATAAGTTTTTATCTATTCTTTTCCATAAGGCAGTTCCTGTGATTTTGTGACAGACAAACATGTGGCACAATTAGTTCTTGCTAGCAGTGCTTATACTGATGTATGGAAAAATGCTTCCTGACTCTTCAGAGCAGTGCATGAGGAAGCACGGGAAAAAAGAATGAAATTGATTCTTTTTTTTTTGTCATTATCTAGATCAGATAAGTTTTTATCTATTCTTTTCCATAAGGCAGTTCCTGTGATTTTGTGACAGACAAACATGTGGCACAATTAGTTCTTGCTAGCAGTGCTTATACTGATGTATGGAAAAATGCTTCCTGACTCTTCAGAGCAGTGCATGAGGAAGCACGGGAAAAAAGAATGTGTAGGCCACAAGTACATAAAATGCATGTAAAGGAGAGCACTAGTAAGAGGAGGACACTGCTTGCTGAGTTATAATTAACTGAGCATGTGGATACAAGAATGTAAAAAAAAAAAATTAAAAAAAACTTTTTCTATTCTTCTTTTTCCTGCATAATAGGTAAAGATTGTCTTTGGTTTTCCCCTGTGTTGTTTCACTAACAGTGACTCTGCCATAGCCTCATCTCTCACAGCAAATTCTCTGCAAGCTGCAGATAAGGTGAAAGGAGTGGAAGGACTTGCCTGGGTGGTGGATACAGAAGAGGTGTTTGTGCTGAGCCCTAATGACAGGGGGGTGTCACTCTCTGTGTGGATGAGTCTGTGGACATGGGCAGTTATATTTCAGATACATTAAATAGGGAGTAACTGGGGCTTAAAGAAACCACACAGAAGATGTGTGGAGATGGTGTGGAGTGGGTTTCCTGGTGCTGAGGTCAGCTCTGTTGCAAACACTGTTCCTCCTGTGCTCTGCTTGTGGACGCTGCTTCAGGCAGACAGAGCCAGGGCTGTGGACGGAGCCTGAAAAATGAAATAATCTGGAAATGAGCAGAACCTGCAAGCAGGCGCAGAAAGGCTTATATTTATGGGCTCCTTGAAAGTCAGCAGGAGATTTGATCTTGTCAAAATATCTCCCTCAAGTATTTGCCTTGAAAATATTGTATTTAACAGAGGCCTGGGATAGTGCCTGATAAATCAGAGGTGCTCGTTGCTGTCAGGTAGACAGATTACTTCCTGCAGAAGTCACCCTGGCTTTCTCTGAGGAACTGATAGCCCCGGCATCCCCTTGTGATCAGCTGCCTATCAAGGCCAAAGAGCCAAACCATTTATAAATCAGTTAACAGGAAGAACTGAAATAATGACAACAAAATGCACAGAATTCTCCATCGTAAGTGTTCAAAAGCAGAGTAACAGGATGATGTTACATAATAAAGTGTTTGCTGAAGGTGCTTTATTCTCCTAAAGCAGATGATCCCCTTTGCACTCAGCATTTCCCTTTCCTCACTGCGTCGCCACTTCGTTTCCCTGAGATCCTAAACCACTGCTAACACACAGTGAAAATAAAATGTGGTTTTCCGCTTGCTCAAGAATGTATTCAAATCTTAATAGTGCTCCCTACCAAGTACACACAGTTCTGTAAAGAATAAATACATATATACATACATATACTTAATGGCAAAGAGACACTGCTGGTCACTTGTGCTAGCGCCGTGGTTATATGCAAGCAGGAAGAAGACACAGAGTGAACCAAAAAATCATAGAATCATAGAATGTTTAGGGTTGTATGATTATAAACTAAGTGATGTGGGTGTGAATAATGAGTACCATGGTTTCCAGTTGTCATTTTTCTAGTGCATATTGATTTCAGTTAAAGCTAATGGGCCTGGGAGGTTTTTGTCCCATTGCTCCTTGGCTCTAGACTGGTGCTACTCTGCAATACAACCTGTGCCATGGGACACTTACCTGGGGCATGCTCTTAAGAACAAAGAGACTCTACAATAACTGGAAAAAAGGATGGGGAAAAAAAAAGGCAGTGTCATGGATGCAATGGGCCTGATAACTTAAACTTTGTTATGAAAAATCATTATGTTCTTTTGTCATCTTAGTAATAGATTTCTGTCATCATCAGGATTTTATCACTTAAGGAAGGCAAAATCAAACAGGAGAAAAGAAGAATACTTACTGTGTATTTCTCACAAGAAAACTTGAGAGGTTTTAAAGATGTGATGCAAAACCTTGCAAAAAATAGATTATTTTTAAACATTGCTATCTAAAATTTATCAGGGCGTAGGTTTCCAAGGGCCAAAGTACAATTAGATAAATCAAGAGGAATTACTTTGAAAATTTCCTTTCTACTTCAAAAATTACTCTCTCAACCTGCCCATTTTGATACATCCCTCTAAAGGATCTTGCAGATTTCCAGTGCAAATGCATTCAACTGCTAGTGTGCTAGAACACTGGTATGGGCACGATACATATGTATTGTGATTTCTGTCATTATTTTACTAGTATCTTAGGCATTGGCTTTGGACTAATTTCGTGGCACATTTGAGGCCTAAACCACAGAGAGAAGGACTGAAGGGGGTTATTCATGAACTTGGCTCTCTTTTTTCATTTCTTTTCAAATGTGCTGGAACTATTTGAGGAAGCCACATGTATAATGCTCCTCTTTTGAGCACATGTAGATCAGTATTCGTCAGTGAAAAGGAATACTGCATGTATTCC